TTGCTGAGGCTGGCTTTGAACTCACAATCCTCCTGCCTCAGCCTCCAGAACCGCTGGAATTACAGGCATACACCACTGCATCCAGTTAGAACATGTTCTTATATTTTATCTTATCTGTCTTCCTCTGGCAATGACCACCATCCAATTAAAAGGGAGGAAAAGGAATCTTGACTATGATCTAGTTCAAACAAAGTCTTTCTTTTACAGATACAGCAAGGTTCTGGATAATCATGGGTTGCCCAACACTCTAATAGAAATAGCACCATGACTTGAACCCATGTCTTCCTTCTAAGCCTATAAGCAATAACTTCTCCAATCGGTTGCCCTGCTCCTGTCTCATGCCTGGGAGCCATGTTAGTGGTGAAAAGGCAGAGCATTGGTGCTCACTCACTTAAATAGAGCTTTCTGTCCACATGGTTCTGTCCTAAATTCTGGAGAAGTAAGGAGACCCCAACTTATTATTTGCCAACTCCACAGTCTTAAATTGCTTAATCTCTCTGAACTTTTGTTTCTTTACCTATTTTTTTCTTTACCTGTTACAAGCTTGAAATAGACTTATCTTTCCTACTTCATGTCATTGTTTTACAAAATAATTATAATAATACCTAAGGCACACCTTTTGCATACCAGATAAAAACCAACCATGTATAAAAATACTTTTTAAGTACCCTTTAACCACTCACAATAATTAAAACCTGACTCACACACTTACCAATAGATAGGACTGCAATTCCTGTCTTAATTTTGTAGGTTGCTACACTGAGGCTATTAATTGATTCACTGGAAAAGTGGGTATTTAGGAAGAGAGAAGAATGAAGATCTCCAGGCCCTAAGTTCCCTGAGTCAGAAAACACTATTGATATTAACACCCCTATTTGATATTAACAGCAGCTTATTTTGTGGGCTGATTTTGTATAAGGAGCCAGAGTCTTCTAATTCTTACACTACCCAAAGAAGTTTAATTTCCCTGTTGTGCAGATGGACCCCGAAGCCCCGTATATTATATATCTTTGCCCCCAGCCATCCAGCTGGTGAGGGAACTGGGATTTAAACTACAGCTTACTCCCTCCAGCTTCATTTTCTGATGTTCCCCCTGAACATTCTAACCATCCCCTTCTCCAAAGCTGTAGTGCTATATTTAAAAATAAAGGAAATTACAGCTGGGTTATGTTGTTTAAAAAGCGAGATAATACTATCATTTATTGAGCAGTGTGTGTGCTAACACCTCACTGGTATTATCTCTTGTAACTTGCACAATATACTCAGCAATCTAAGGCCTAAAAAAATTAAGGAAGTTGCATATGATCATGCAGATAGTGACTTGCAAAACTAGGATGCAAACCCACTTATGACTCTAAAGCTCATGACCTGCATTGCTAGCCGGCCAGATTCTGCAAAGTCTAAAGTTGGAACAAATTAATTGCTGAGTTTTAATTGACCAAACTCCTCTTACAGAACCATTTCTGATTCTAAACGTCTGAACCTAAATGTCTGTCCCAACCCTCTCAGGATAAGTGGAATCCATCCATTGGAAAGAGAGGGGAATTGAGTTTTCAGATTTGCTACATCTGACAGATTCATCTCCCCTACCACTTTCTTATGCACTCTTTATCCATGCTTTGA